GGCCGACATCGGCCGACGTGCGCAGGCTGCGCGCGCGCTCGGATCCTGAGGGCGCACGCCCACCTGGCCGTGGCTCGGCCACGCGCGAACTCGGCCGCGTGGCCTAGGCCGCGGCCGAGGGTGCCACGTAGGCTCTCTGTGATCGGTGATGCCGTCTCACGAGTTTCGCGGAATCGTCCTTCTAGGTGTGAGTCATCCACCCCCCATATTCTGAGGAGGATTCGTTCGATCTTTGCGGATCTACCCACAAGTTCCCTACACTCTTTGTCATACTCCTGCTTCCTTAGCTCCAGTCGCTCACATATCACTCTCAACTCATCATCAAACTCCTGCCTATTACGCTGCCTGGCCCCGACAAGAACGACAATGTTGCTGAAGCAGAGCATCTGGACGAAATGGGGAAAGTGTCCGATGTCCCAGGCCTGTCTCTTATACACATCTAGATGTGTATAAGAGACAGCCCATATTCTGAGGAGGATTCGTTCGATCTTTGCGGATCTACCCACAAGTTCCCTACACTCTTTGTCATACTCCTGCTTCCTTAGCTCCAGTCGCTCACATATCACTCTCAACTCATCATCAAACTCCTGCCTATTACGCTGCCTGGCCCCGACAAGAACGACAATGTTGCTGAAGCAGAGCATCTGGACGAAATGGGGAAAGTGTCCGATGTCCCAGGCCTGTCTCTTATACACATCTAGATGTGTATAAGAGACAGCCCATATTCTGAGGAGGATTCGTTCGATCTTTGCGGATCTACCCACAAGTTCCCTACACTCTTTGTCATACTCCTGCTTCCTTAGCTCCAGTCGCTCACATATCACTCTCAACTCATCATCAAACTCCTGCCTATTACGCTGCCTGGCCCCGACAAGAACGACAATGTTGCTGAAGCAGAGCATCTGGACGAAATGGGGAAAGTGTCCGATGTCCCAGGCCTGTCTCTTATACACATCTAGATGTGTATAAGAGACAGCCCATATTCTGAGGAGGATTCGTTCGATCTTTGCGGATCTACCCACAAGTTCCCTACACTCTTTGTCATACTCCTGCTTCCTTAGCTCCAGTCGCTCACATATCACTCTCAACTCATCATCAAACTCCTGCCTATTACGCTGCCTGGCCCCGACAAGAACGACAATGTTGCTGAAGCAGAGCATCTGGACGAAATGGGGAAAGTGTCCGATGTCCCAGGCCTGTCTCTTATACACATCTAGATGTGTATAAGAGACAGCCCATATTCTGAGGAGGATTCGTTCGATCTTTGCGGATCTACCCACAAGTTCCCTACACTCTTTGTCATACTCCTGCTTCCTTAGCTCCAGTCGCTCACATATCACTCTCAACTCATCATCAAACTCCTGCCTATTACGCTGCCTGGCCCCGACAAGAACGACAATGTTGCTGAAGCAGAGCATCTGGACGAAATGGGGAAAGTGTCCGATGTCCCAGGCCTGTCTCTTATACACATCTAGATGTGTATAAGAGACAGCCCATATTCTGAGGAGGATTCGTTCGATCTTTGCGGATCTACCCACAAGTTCCCTACACTCTTTGTCATACTCCTGCTTCCTTAGCTCCAGTCGCTCACATATCACTCTCAACTCATCATCAAACTCCTGCCTATTACGCTGCCTGGCCCCGACAAGAACGACAATGTTGCTGAAGCAGAGCATCTGGACGAAATGGGGAAAGTGTCCGATGTCCCAGGCCTGTCTCTTATACACATCTAGATGTGTATAAGAGACAGCCCATATTCTGAGGAGGATTCGTTCGATCTTTGCGGATCTACCCACAAGTTCCCTACACTCTTTGTCATACTCCTGCTTCCTTAGCTCCAGTCGCTCACATATCACTCTCAACTCATCATCAAACTCCTGCCTATTACGCTGCCTGGCCCCGACAAGAACGACAATGTTGCTGAAGCAGAGCATCTGGACGAAATGGGGAAAGTGTCCGATGTCCCAGGCCTGTCTCTTATACACATCTAGATGTGTATAAGAGACAGCCCATATTCTGAGGAGGATTCGTTCGATCTTTGCGGATCTACCCACAAGTTCCCTACACTCTTTGTCATACTCCTGCTTCCTTAGCTCCAGTCGCTCACATATCACTCTCAACTCATCATCAAACTCCTGCCTATTACGCTGCCTGGCCCCGACAAGAACGACAATGTTGCTGAAGCAGAGCATCTGGACGAAATGGGGAAAGTGTCCGATGTCCCAGGCCTGTCTCTTATACACATCTAGATGTGTATAAGAGACAGCCCATATTCTGAGGAGGATTCGTTCGATCTTTGCGGATCTACCCACAAGTTCCCTACACTCTTTGTCATACTCCTGCTTCCTTAGCTCCAGTCGCTCACATATCACTCTCAACTCATCATCAAACTCCTGCCTATTACGCTGCCTGGCCCCGACAAGAACGACAATGTTGCTGAAGCAGAGCATCTGGACGAAATGGGGAAAGTGTCCGATGTCCCAGGCATTTTTTATCGCATCCATGACCCCGGGATTGATGCAGGTCATCAGGGCCTGCGTAGGTTTTGCGGGCTAGACACATCCTTTTAGCCATAGGAAGCGATGTGTCAATTCGTTCCACCATCCTCCCAGGAACGATTCCCTGGGGGGCCTTTGTGCCTATGTGGCGAAAGAAGGAACGAAGTGGAAAAAAAAGGGGGGGTTAGGGCAAAGCAGAAGAGCAGCCGCAGAGTAAGTTGGAACGGGGGAGTGTGTAGGAAGGAGAGTGTGTGTGAGGATCAGGGATGGGGAAAAGGGGCAGAACCACACACAAGAGAACAACAGAGATTCGTCAAAGCACGCCCCCACCAGCTGTCCCCAAAAACATCATCTCTCACCGAGTATTGCGCAATACACAGTCGTCTCCTTTTTTGATATTATCCAGCCATTCCTCCTTACCATCGTCGGACGTCCTCGGCGTACCCCATAGCCAGCGACATCACCTCGTTTCCACACGCGGGTGTATAAGGCACGCAACTACGCTTCACAGTGCGGTCGGGGGGGGCACCCCCCGGCATTGATGGAGGAGACACGTCCTCTTGAGTGTGTAGCATGTGCATTCCACATGCGCTGCGCACGAGCACGACACGTCATGCTCGCGCAACTCCGACCAAACAATCGTCGGCACACTGTGAGCAATGAGCAAGACGCGGCGACACGTCATGCTCGCACAACTCCGACCAAACAATTGTCGGCACACTGTGAGCAATGAGCAAGACGCGGGAGGCGATACAAACGCGGCGAGGTAAAACCACTTGGTATGTCCAATTGGTAAAGGTAATCATTGGGCCGTTTATCGGGTGGAGTAGGCCGATTTTGCGCTAACGGCGATTTCAAAGCAACGGAGGGGGGTGGAGGTGCTTTGCCGCTCACGGGGGGCATTAATCAAGCTATTAATTTGGAAAAAAGTACAAACAAACCACGAAGAGAAGATAATTCGGAGAACCGAATCTTGGAGGACGCACCAAAGGTACACACATAATTACTACGGTATAGTTTCCACCAGAACACTATTCCATTGGGAAATTAATCAGGACAAACCAATATGATGGCATATGACGAAGCATTCTGACAGATCGATTGACAGAGCAGGTATTGAAAGCAAACACATACTCGCTAACGCATAGATGCGATCAAAACAGCATTTCAGTGGGACACACCAATCAGGATGCCAAATAATGAAGCACTTCTTTGACAATCGAAAGAAAGCACAGAGACATCATCCATAGCGTACCACTGAGCGAGGGAAAAATGCAAAGAGAGAGAGGAGAGCGAGAGCAGGAGGGAAGGGAGAAAATAGAAAGGACAACGAGTAACCTTGATGAAAGCCAACTCTTAAGAGGACAGAGATAGTATGATTCGTTTACATTTGCACAAAAAAATTATTATTATACGTCACAGTGCCCGCTCCGTACCCCTGCCATCAAATCATACATGTGGTCCCAAAGGCTAGGAGAGAAAGACCGGGGAATAGAGAGGGGCGGGGGGGAAGAGGGAGAGAGGGGAAGGGGGAAGGGGGGAGGGTGCAGATGATCAGACTTAGGAGAGAGGGAACGGG